GTTGCTGGAGGGGGGGCTGCTGTTTTCCACGGCCACGTCATCCTTGAGAGCTCTCTTCAGAGCTTGCTGCCCTTGCTCTTAGAATGAGGATTTTACCGACCATTGCCCAAAGGGCAACATATAAGAAGGGTGAGAGAGGTGTTATAATAAATATCTTAAATTGTATGGTGCTTTACTTTAAATTTCACATAAGTAAAAAAGAGTTTTATGCCTATGTCCCCCAAATCCACTATATTTGCAGGCTTGCCTCAACTCTGCATATTTGCTAATTTACTTCGCAAACTCCCAAATTGAGTTTTTGTACCCATAGACTTTTTTGTTAGTTAATGTACTTGGAATATTCCGATCATTTCTGTCAACTTGATTAAAAATTTTCAAATACGAGTACTTTTACACTAACGGAGTTAATTAATTTTATTAAAAATATAATAGGAAATAGGATGAAGATAGAAAGCGAACGAAAGGAGAGAAGAGGGTTTGTTAACGCGCTTTTGGCAACAAAAGCACTTTTGGGTTATAGCTAGGGGTCTAACAGGATGCGTGTGCGTATGTGTGTATATATAGGGATTGGTGATAGAGGAGGTGCCCAGGTCTGAGTATTGAGGCCACAGTTTGGATCTAGGGATGGAGAGAGTGCATGGTAGGGGCACACTGTTAAGCTCGGTTTCTTTTGACGAGAGAAGAGGGTATTCTTGACATTTTACTCTCTCAGTAGAAATTTATTCACGTTAAAGCGGGGTAGGAAAGAATAATGTGAGAGTTCGGGGTAGACTAACAAATATCTAGGTTTTGAGGGATAATTTTAAATATTGTACATTTGGAGGCATAGGCAAAAAAAAAAAAAAAACAAAATGATTTGGTTCCGCCAGATTGCCCCGCGTTAACTACACTACCGGTCGTACCATCCACCCAATCACATCCTCCCACGTGTCCCACTCTCCCTCCGTCCCAGTTATTAAAGCTCGCACCCACTGCTTCTCTCTTTGATCACTCTCTCGCTCTAAAAACCCAGCTCCACTCTCTCTCTCTCTCTCTCTCTCTCTCTCTCTCAAACCTACTACTGTGATCTCCATTGTTCTTCTCTCCAAAAACCCAGATCCCAATTTCACAAAAACCCCCATAAAAATCTCGAATTTATGGAAACCCATCAAAAACTCAAACTCCTCCTCACTCTAATCCCGCCCTTCCTCCTCCTCATTCTCTGCCTCCTCTTCTACTACTTCCACACAAAACGATTTCAACAAAACTCTCTCGCAGAACGCGAATACGGGTACGAATCCAAACCCGGTTCCGAAACCCTTATCGGGTTCTCGGGTGGCGAAGGACTAACAACCCAACAAATCCTCGACGCGCCGGGGGAAGTGGTTGCGAAGTCGAGCTACGGGACTCTGTACCGGGCCGGGTTCGTTGGGAGCGGGCCGGTTATGATGATGAAGTTCTTGAGACCCGGTTGCGTTGTGAGGAAGGAGGAGGCGGTGGAGGCCATTCGGGTTATCGGGTCGGCTCG